TGATGTCCATTAGCGAGGGATCCTTGGAAACTGATCATGGATCGCTGCTATGCAGAAGTCAAGAATGGCACCACGGAGCATCTGCTGGTGCTACTTGGAGTGCCCATTGCTTACCCAAGAATGGTGTGGCTTGAGAACATGTAAGCTTGGTGACCTGTTACCACGAGTCGATCCCGTGCTGACTTTATGTAGCCTCACTTCCAGGATTATGGATCCTGTCAAAGCCATGGGTAAGCTTGGTTTGCTTGGGAACGCACTCAACCGCATCGACGGCGGGGTGGAGGTGTTGGACGATTTGAACGATCATTGGACAGCCCGCAACCACAAAAAAGAGAGGAGTGTAGTCATCGAAGATTTGCAGGATCTGGCTGCAGACAAATCAGTGCGGATCACAATCCTCAGTGGCGACGTTCACCTCGCCGCCGTGGGACAATTCTACACCAACCCCAAGATCGGTCTCCCGAAGCACAAGGATTTCCGCTACATGCCGAACATTATCTCCTCTGCAATCGCTAACACGCCACCACCGAATATGCTTGCTGATGTCCTCAACAAGCGTAACAAGGTGCATCACTTTGACGAGAACACTGACGAGTCCATGATCCCCATGTTCTCGCACGGTGTAGACGGAAAGCCGAGAAACAACAAGCATCTGCTTCCACACCGCAACTGGTGCTCTATCCGCGAGTGGAAGCCAGGGATGACACCACCGCCGACACCTCCTCTTTCAAACTACGACGCAAGCCCCAGTCCTCCCCTCGCAAGGAAAGACAGCAACGGGGGTGTTATGCGGCGCCTGACCAAGACTCGTGGCCCTCAATACCGTCCTGACGCACCGCAGCAACGCGAATCCCGGCCGCCCATCACAGGCGAGAAGTCTGGTGGACTGTTCCGCAGGTTTTCGAGGCGCAGCTCATCCGCAGGGCAAGACACTGCGCGACCTGGTCAGCTTACTCGCACCATGTCACTGACCCGGGTGACTTTAGTCCCCGCAAGTTCTTCAACCGGCGTCCCAGTATATCACGACCGGATGATGGCGGAATCAATGGTAAATGGGGCCAAGCTGACGGGGATGCCGACTTTTACCAGTATGATGATCCTCGCCGACCTCCTTCGCCGCCTAGGCAGCAGAAAGGTTTAGTCCTTCGTGGAGGCGGACGGCCTCAATTTGATGATGGACATGATGAATTCCAGCCTGGCGACGAGGACTACTTTACGGCTAGGGCACTTCCTCCGTCCTCCCAAGGCCGCCACATCAGCAACAAGCTTGTACCCACCAAGGTTACAAGAAGACCGCACCACCTGAGCCGCCCATGCCCGATCAGACATTCCATCGAACGGCTACGGGCTGAGTAGGAAGCAGACGGGAAAGGGGGTTGCTGGGCACATGACATTGATCTTGAAGGTGGCCTTGACATCTGTCTCAACGTAGAGGTGAATCCTCGAGACCCAGCCGGTATCACAGTGCCATATCGTCTACTTGTGCCACGTTTGTTCTGGGAAGATTCCAAAGACGAAACGCCTCCAGTGGTGCAGCAGCCAGCTCCATCGGCCTTCAAACGATTGCTGAGCTTTAGGAAGAAGCAGCAAACGGGTGGTGGTCCAGTCAGCCCCCAACAGTCGAGCTCTGTGCCCGCGAGCCATGAATATCTTGGGGGCCGTGGGGATGGCGGGCAGTGGGGGCCAGTAGCACGAGGCCCACAGCCGCCGGCTCAGCAGCATTACCACCACCAGGCGCCCCCTTCTCAGCAACATCAGCAGCAACATCAGCAGCAACAGCAGCAGCAGCAGCAGCAGCAACAACAGTATGGACAGCCAGTTCAGCGCCAGCACCATCATCACACGAGTCAGCAACAACAGCCTATGATGACTCGTGCTGGACTTTCACAGCCGTCATCTAGCCGGGCGGGCGGCTTCCCGCAAACGCATGTTCCACCTCCACAGCACTACCAGACGCAGCCAGGCTCAGGGGAGCACGGCGAGATTGAGTATGAGGAGTATTATGATACGCCGGACGAGGATGCTGGACGTTCAAAGAGAAGATATTAAGACTTGGTGGCGAGGGTTTGACAACAACGCACGATTAGGGACAGGAGTTTTGCATTAATCAGAGGGTGTTGGGCATCTGCAAGGCAGCATACGAGGAGCGGTTGGTTCAGCAAGCTAGACAGCGGTAGCTCCCATTGCATACCTCATACACCTGAGGCACAAGAATCGAGACAATATGGTTACCTGTCTTGAAGCGTTGTGGAAGGGAGAATACGAAAGGCCAATCCCGGTGCCTGGTATGTGGATGCTACGCGCTCCCGCTGTTGAGCTACGTACATTATGAAGGGTGGCAGCAAGGAGAAGGACCAATACAGGGAAAGTCGGAAACATGTTGTATTCGAGCCACCAGATCACCGATGCTAAACGTTAAGCGATTCGGTTAGGCATGCCATGTCACAATAGGACTCGAAAATGGCAACGACGGTTTCGAAATGAACGCAACCTTCCACCTAGGGCATCAAAATCGTTGGTTTTCCCGAGTGGCCGTTCGTGATCTGCACGTGAGCCTCTCTCATTGAACGACGACTTACCTAGGTCTCTTGCTGTCCAGTTCTTACACACATCAAGTCTCACTGGGGAGTCGCAGAAGATGGTGCAATCTGCAAATCCATGTTAGTCCACACAAGAACCCCGCCGTCAGTCATATCATCGCATCAGGACATACCTTGTGAATGTGCTATCACGCGCCGACATGTTGGACATGTCGGCTCAGACACGTATCCAAATCCCCCACCCCGGTCTCGTAGAGGATACGTGCTGCTCCAGGACCAAGAAGGCGCAGTCCGAAAGACTTGTGCCGGTCCTCCATTTTTCATCTCATCCTCTCTGTCTCTCCGTGTGTTGTTCCTCTTCTTCATCGTCTGCTTTTCCTTCTTTCTCGCAATGTCTAAGCTGGGCTGGGCTTCACGCGAGCGGACGTTGGAGAATTACTCGGCATCGACTTCCGCCGCCTTGTCGGCCCCGGCAGCGACGCCCGGTGTCCTGCTGCGGCTTCGGCTCCTCCCCCTCCCGCGGTTCTGGGCGCGAGCCCTGCCACCGCCTCCTCCTCCGCTGCCGCCGCCGCCTCCGTGGCGGTCGCTGTTCTTCCCTGGCGGGGGTCGCACAAAGGCAAAGTCGACGCTGATGCTCTGGTCAAGCAGCTTGGCCTTGTGCGCGTCGTCAATGGCGGCGCGGGCCTCGGCGAGCGTGGCGTACTCGATGAGGGCGTAACCCTGTGATGACGGGAGAGTGTCAGTGCTCTCTCTCTCTCTCTCTCTCTCTCTCTCTCCCCCTCTCTCTGTCGCTCTTCTGAAGGGTACAGCGAACGGAAGGGCGTTAGCAGAGGGCCGTTCTCACCTTGACGTAACCGCTCCGCCGGTCGAGGGGCAGGTGCAGGTTCTTGATCTCGCCGTACTCGCCAAACATGTCGTGCAGGGCCCTCCCTCGTCGGCCTCCTCGTGGACGTTGTCCACGGATGGACGATCCAGCCTCGAATCGAGCGGGAGCGGTCGTCGCGCCGACGGTGCGTCCTGCATCTGCGACTTCGTTGCGCGGGGGGCCGCCTGGCCGTCGTCGGGGGCTTGCTGTGCTGCTGGTTGTCCGTCTCCTGCTGCTGCTGCTGCTGCTGCTGGGGTGCTCGTCAATGTCCATCTCGACGTCGGCCATTGTGACGGTGGTTCGTGGGGCGAGATGGGCGGGTGGATTCGCGCGTTCGTGTCTGTGTTTTCTCTACGGCAGGCTCGGATCGAGGTGTGACGGGGTCGTGCGTGTGATGGGGGGCAGCGCAGATGTTGTGAGATTTCAAGGTGGAAGATGGTGAGGTCGCGATGTTGATGGGCGCAAGCAGTAGCTCAATTCGACCATGCCTGGCAGCAGCTGGTGGTGCCGTGCCCCACCCGCCCTGTGCGACCCGCCGGACTTTGGAGGGCCCGTTCCGGCGGGCAGACAGAGAGAGAGAGAGAGAGAGAGAGAGGCGACCTGAGAACCCTTGGTACTAGCAATGCATCTCGCCATGAATCGTTCAAGGTCTGCTGGCATGGATTTCCATTGATGCTTCATAATAATCGTCGACAGGCGCGATACTCCTAGTATGTACAGGAACCCCTTCACGTCTGGGGAAAATCGAGCCACAGAGCTCGACATCGCAACGTTTCGTGCGGCCAAAGACCTGGCAGCCTGCTGATCCAATGCCCGGATGTAAGAGAACAAATACAGAATACCTAACGCCATGCAACCTGTCCAGGATCCCTAACCTCCGAACCAATTCCCCAGAAAGTCAAGTCAAAAAAAAACGCCTTGGCAACCCGTCCTCTCATATCGCAACACTATCCAGAGTGAAGTTCAGGCTGGCTTCTCGGAGGCTCAAGCCCGTTATGCTGAAGATGGTCATCTCAAGCTCCTCCTCCGGCATGGCCTGGTCCGCCTGCTTCTGCCCCTCGAGAACGTCATACAGCGCGTAGATCTGGTCGTTCTTGACCTCGAGCCTCTTAAGCATCTCCCTCATACGCGACGCCAGGTCCTTGCGCGCGGTACGGCCGAGCGCCGAATTGAGGTCATTGTAGCGCGCTTGCAGCCTGGAAAACTCCATCTTGAGGTGTTCCGCCTCATCCTTGAGACCCTTGATGACCATGGCCAAAGCTTGACCGGGGTGCTGCGAAGGCCGCATCGTCGGCTCTTCGGTGTAGCCTTCGAGCTGCTGCACCTGCTCCGTGGCGGGGATCGGCTTGGGAACGTGGATACGCTTCTTGCCCTCGGTCGCTTCTTTCAAGCTGACTGTGCCGCGGTGTCCTGTGATCCTGCTGCAAACGACACAGTTCTTACACTTGTGCTCGCAAAGGTCGTCTAACACACGACGCGCGTTCGCAGAGAGCGCAGGACAGTTGGCTCGGGCCTCCGATGTGCGTTCCTCCTTGCGACCGCGACTCGTGATATCGACAGTCGTCGACTTGTTGTGAGAGGGCTTCAGAGAAGACTTGGCCGACGGCGCCTTCTGACTCCGGCCCGTCATGTTCTGGGTCATCGTAACAGCGTGCTCCCGTGTGTGTTCAGACTTGGTAGTTGTCTCCTTGCGAGGCTTGGCCTTGGGCTCAAAGGTGATGGAGAGGTTTTGCGTCAGATCCTGGGTGCTCTCCTGGGTCATGTATGCATCGGCATCAGCCACGAGCCCGCCTTTCGCAGCGCTGCGTTGGGCCGCCGTGCGCCTCTTGCTGCTGCGGTTCGCGCCGTGTGCGGCTGTCTTGCTGTTCTGTGCGTTCTCGGGAAGCGAGAAGGCAACTTTCTGGCCTTGGGTCGTCATATCCCTTTGTTGTGTTGCGTCTTTTCGGCTCTTCATGGCACGTGTGTCAAATGTGTTCTCGGGATCAGCAAGGCTTCCCTCCGTCGGCCCATCGATCTCTGGAATCTCAAATGGCTTCTGGCTCTGTGTCGGCATGTCAGGCGGCGCCTTGTTGCTTTCGGTGGTCACGTCGACGATCGAGTTCTCATCAATGGTAATGTCAGGAACAAAGAAGGCCGAAGTCATGTTCTCCTCGTCGCCGTCCTCCTCTTCGTCGTCGTGGCCAAGACGAGCGGAGAAGTTGTCATCTTTGCCGAGTGGTCGACAATGATCCAGCTGCTGCTTAAGGAACTCGATTTCCTCCTTGAGCCGCACGTTCTCGTCGTGCAGGTCGTGAAATGCTGCGCTCGAAGCCGCTGTTCTCGCGACGAAGCATCTTGTTCTCCTCAAAGTACTTCTCGTTGTGGCGCACGAGGCTATCATTGTCTTCCTTCAGAGTGATCTTCTCCTGGTCCACAGCGTCCATGTCCTGCTGCAGCGCGTCCACCTCCTCACGCGCCGCGTTCAGTTCTTGCTGCGCAGTGTTGGCGTTTTCGCGGAACTCCTCGTTCTCAGACATCAGGGAACGAGCATTGGTTCGGAGCGATCGATTCTCGGCCACCAGAGACTCTTGCTCCCGACGCAACGAGTTGTTGTCGGCTCGCAGCGATTCCACTCGTCTTGCAGAGCCTGCTGGTCGCGGCGAAGGGTGCTGTGTCAGCCCGAAGAGACTTGTTCTCCAGCTGGAGCGCGTCGACTTCGTGCTTTTGCGTTTCGCCGAGGACGGGGCAACGTTCTGAGTGGTTTGCAGCTGGAGCGTCTCGTCGAGCTTCTTTTGCGTCTCGTTCAGCTCCTTCTCGCGAGCGTCAAGCTTGTCCATGAGTTCGCCGATGTTCTCGCAAGCCTGTTGCAGTTTCTTCAGAGCCCGGTCCCGCTCCAGGGATAGGGTGTTGTTCTCCACGTCGTTGACCCCGATCTTCTGGGTCATCTGGTCGAGTCGGGTCTGCAGCGAGTTGACCTGCGATTCCAAAACTGGTGCGTGTTAGCCATTTAATTCATCATGTTGGGTCCAGACATGGTTACCAAGCTTCTCGGTGACCAGCTGCTCGTGCGCAGCCGTTTCGGGCTCCGAGCCGCTGCGAGAACCCAAAGCACTATCGATGGACTTGCGAGACTTCAGACGTTTGACCTCCTTGGAAAGAAAGTCCACTTCGCCTTGCAGGTCGTCGGCGTACTTCTGTACCATGTCGTCGTGCTGCTGGAGGTTCTCAATCTCTTCGCGAATCATATCCATGGAGACGAAAATCTTGCCCTCGTCCTCGGGAATGGCAAGGCCGTCGACTTCGGCATGGTCGTTCACCGGGCGGTTGTCGCGGTTCTGTACCCGGCCGTGCTTGACGAAGACCGGGACGCCGTTCTTCATGCCGCCGAGGCGGAGATTTCCAGAAACAACGTCGTTGAGGTGGGAGATGTCAGGCATGACGAAGGACTGCATGGTGCCGTTGTTGCGCGCCGGGCTATCGGTGGTGGAGGGGGAGGGAAACAGTTTGCGGATCGCGTTGAGGTTCTGCGGCGTATGCTTCGCAAAGTTGGTCTCGGCAACGGCCGGCGCCGGCTCGCTGTGGCGTGGCAGGGCAGAGGACGTGTGAGATCTCCGCATCTGGCCGATGCGATCTTGCAGAGGTGCTTCGGACGGGGCTGGCTGGCTGCCCGAGGAGTGGCGCAGGTGTGCTCGGGACAGAGGGCTCTGGGTGCGCGTCTGGTGGGCGAAGCGGGCCATCTCTGGCCGGATGGCGAGGCGGGCGGGGGACTTGGATATGGTGGACGAGAGGTCGGATTCGTTGTCGACACGAGGTTGCATCTCGGCACGTGTGCGTTTCGAGTCTTGCCAGGCATCTTGTGTGGAGTCGTCAGTAGTCGGGTGACTAGCGCATTCTCCTTGGCGCGAAGCGACTGCGCAGTGTGCTTCGTGGTGGGGGCACCGTAGTGTTCCGGCCACTTTCTGTGTGCGGCCTCGAGGTCGAATCTCGGGCCAGTAACGCGAGCGATGTCCTCGTTAAGCTTGCGCGTAGACTCGCCGTCGGGATCGGACATGACAGAAGACATGGTAATGGTGCCGTGGGAACCCGTGGATGATGGGGGAGAGTTCCACGGGTGCAGCTTCTTCGCCGCTCGCTCCCTAAGCATGCGGGACTTGTATTGAATGTCAAGTGCGTTGGAGGCCATGGCTGCCTTGCCACGTCTTGCAGACGCGGTCGTGGACTTGGTCGTAGATGTGATCGATGAGGATGATGGTGCGTGTGTATGTGTGCGGGCAACAAGGTCAGATATGTGTGATGGACGCGTCGCCGTGATGATGTGACCGGTCTTCTCTCAAGACGAGCAATTGATGTCGTGCTAGATGCTGTTCACGCGGAAAAGCAGCAAGGAAGAAAAGAAAACGCGTGCAACTGCTCTGGAGGTCGAGAGCTTCGCGAGAACAGGACGCGATGTCGAGGAATGAGCGTTCCGAGATGAGCGAGCGAACCAGCAAGGGCAGGGCATGTTGGTTTGTTTACTTTCGGGAGTAAACACATGGGGGTGCGTCCCCACCAGTGCTGTCACACATACACACACACACACCAGCCACCGCTAGCCATCCCGCCAATCGCCCCGCCTGAGACATCTACCTACTTGTAGCCTGCCGCCCGCTGCCCGCTGCCCGCTGCCCGCTGCCCGCTCCGAAGCACACTGCTGAGCCACGTTCCTACATGGAGAAGTGTGCGGGCAGGAGAAGGGCAGTTGGGAAGCCACAGCCCGCGCAACGTCGCGCCGAACTTGACCACCATGGAACCTGGAAGGACTTCGCTTTGGTGAAGCCCAAGTGCTGGTCGTGATCGCCCAAGCCTCTACTTGCCAACATGGAGACCTTCTTCACTCGTCCATGACATTGACATGCTTTCTTTCCTTGAAGTGAGGGAACAGACGGGACCCATGCATTTCCTGCTCTGCGCAATCAAACTCATGACGATCTTAAGGCTTGCCGATAACGAATTTACCAATCATGCTAAAACCTGTTTGATGCTCTCGAACCAGTATTCTCGCCACACTTTCCACCTCAGACTGCACCTCGGACACTGACATCCTTCACGGGGCTGTCATAGCTGGTGTGCGGTCTCCTCGCCATGGCGCGCTTGCACCTCGCTGTGCTCGCGCTATCCAGTGTCGCAGCGAACGTCTTGGCCAAAGCGACAATCCCCAAGCACGAGATATACTGCCCAGTATTCATCAATGCCACGAATGCGCCCCGGGATTGCGACCCAAGCCGGACGGTGTCGTTCATCGACTACCCGCTGCCACTTCTGCAGTCCGCCAATGGCTCTGAGATCGATACCGAGGCCCTGGAACATGCCTTTGAGGCCCTCACCGTCATGCAGAGCGAATTCTTCATGCCGGCCCAGGGGACCTGGCCGGAAGCCATCGACTGGACCGTGGCCGTCATGGAGACCATGCTGTCAGGCATGCTGACGACCCTGTCACGGGCCTTCTCGGCCATTGACTTTCTTCGCAAGGACGACAAGGGGTCGGAGAGGAACCTCATCGACTCGTATTTCACGCAACTCGTGGCGTCCTATTTCGGCCAGGATGATGTCGCCATCCGCCATCAGGTATTTTTTTTTCCGCCTTCTTTTCATTTTCATTTGTGGGCGCCTGCAAGTCTCAAGAAAGTACCGCTGACGTATCATCAGGCCTACGACGACATTCTCTGGGTTGTCCTCGGCTGGGTCGACGCCATCAAGTTTGTCCACGTACACTCCACCCTGCACTACCCTCCCAGAGACCCCAGCAGCATCGTCAACGAAGACCTGGGGGACGCTCTGCGGAAGAGCCCGTGGTACGGCCACTTCTGGGTCCCGGCTTTTGCGCACCGGGCGAGGATCTTCTGGGACTCGGCCGCGCGCGGGTGGGACAACAGCCTCTGTGGCGGGGGCATGATATGGGACCCTCGACTGGCGCCGTACAAGAATGCCGTGACGAACGAGCTCTGGATCGCCGCGTCCGTGTCCATGTATCTCTGGTTTCCGGGCGACAACAACACGGCGCCGTGGATCAACGGGCGGTTCCAGCTCGGCGCCACGCGCGAGCCCAAGTATCTGGCCGCCGCCATCGAGGGCTACAAGTGGCTGGTCAACGTCAATATGCGGAACGAGGACGGCCTCTTCGTCGACGGCTTCCACATCTCGAGGCCGCAGGGCGACAAGAAGTGTGACGCGCGCAGCGAGATGGTGTTCACGTACAACCAGGGCATCCTGCTCACCGGTCAGCGAGGGCTCTGGACCGCCACCGGCAGCCCCTCGTACCTCGAGGACGGTCACAGGCTCATCCAGTCCGTCGTCAAGGCGTCGGGCTGGGATCTTCGCCATGACAAACCCGTCGATGACCTTCGCAAGCTTCCCTACGGACGCCTGCCTCCCTGGAGAGGTCTCGGCAGAGGTGGCGTGCTCGAAGATGGATGCGATGCCAGCGGCACCTGTTCGCAGGACGGACAGACGTTCAAGGGCATCTTCTTTCATCATTTTGTGACCTTCTGCGAAGCCATCCAGCCACCGGAGCCGGGACAGGACACGAAAATTGACTATGAGGCCCACGATAGGATCACAACCGCCCATAGGACGGCATGCCGGAGCTATTCGGGCTGGGTGGCTCACAACGCCCGAGCAGCTCTCTTGGCAAGGGACGACGAGGGACGATTCGGCGCATGGTGGGGAGCCGGTCTCTTCAATAACGTCTCACCGACGGTGGAGACAGATGGGGTTCCTCACGACGAGCCCAACGCGACAGACTACCGCAACCACGGTATCCCGCACGAACCTCTCTGGGCCAAGGGCAACCCCGACGAAATTGGGGCACCGAACGGAGAGGCTCGCAGGACGCCAGGCAAGGGTTCGAGAATGACGGCCCCCGCGCAGCCAGATCAGATGGTGATGGGGTCAACAGATAGCTCGCCCCTTGACACGCGACAGGAACTCGGCAAACGACACAAGACGTCAACTACGCGCGACCCGAACGACAGGGGCAGAGGCCGCACAGCCGAGACGCAGAATGGCGGCATGGCGTTGATGCGAGCTTGGTGGGAGCTGGTGGCCTGCGACCACGACCTGCACCCAGAGAGCTGAACGGCTTTCTCCAGAAAAGGGCATCAACAATCAGGGCACATCCGATAGACTAGGCACCCAAGAAAAATAAGAGGGCATCGCAACGCCATACAAGCTGATGGTCAGCACTACCACCGTCAACCAATGCACCCATTGGCCAGGCGTGCGAAAGCGATGACCAGCCAGCCTAGCGTGCGCACTGGGGCTCTCACCTCTCTCGGCACCGAGAAGCCGGGCGCCCACGCAACGCTCTCCCCCCAAGGCGATCGGCGTGGCTTAAGGAGGGCGTCCACACCTTTCGTCTCTCAAGCGCCGGCAAGCGTTGGGCCGAGAGAAGCGTGTGCGCAGCTTCGAATCATGTTCCTTTTTGAGACTCGAATCGTCTTCCCTTTTGGGACATGTGCCTAGGAGTAGGAGGCGAGGGGTCGCAAGATAGCGCACACGGCATGGCTGTCATGAAGGCGCAGCATCATAGACGAGAGATACCAACGTAGACACGAGGGGGCTATTGTTATAAGTAGAGTAGAAGATCGCTCACCATGTAGACCACTTTCGCATCATCAGCATCGCATTCACATTGATCAACACTCCTGTCCTCCACTTCCACCAGTGCCATCTGCAACCTGCGAACCTCACATTTGATCGTATCAATCAAGACAACCACTTTCCAGTTCTTTCAACCACCCACGTTCTCCAAAATGGTCGTCGGTCTCGTCGCCAGTCTCGTGTCAACCCTCGTCCACAGCTCCAAGAACAAGTCTTGCTCCTCCGCCACGGCCACGCCGGAGCGGCCACGCCGGGAGAACCAGGCGACCGCACACCACCAGCAAGGCAGCGCCCACAGCACCCCGTGCTCACGCGACTGCTCCATCTGCGCCGTCGTCCCCTCGCTCGCGACCCGCTACGAGCGCAAGCAGGAGCGCAAGGACAGGCGGTGCGCGCGCCGCGCCGACAGGCGCGACGCCCGGAGATCCCACTGCTGCTACCCGGTCGGCGTCGTCGTGCAGCCCACCGTGTCGGTCGGCGGGTATCCCACCATGGCGGGGCAGTCGTACGGCGTGCGCCGCGTGAGCGCGCCGAGGCGGCAGGGCGCCGAGGGCCAGGAGCGCGGGTTGACGGACGGGGATGTGCCGCCGCCTTATGAGCGAGAAGATCCCCACGGGGCGTTGGATGAGAAGAACGAGGTTCGTCTGTGATGTGACTGCAGTGGGGGGAACAGGATTGGGGAGACGTTGTGTTGGTTCTCCTTTGTTTCACGAGTTCGCATCTTCGTCAGATACCGAGCGTTCAAGGTCATGTTCGTTTCTTTTGTTTTTAAAAATTCCATTGGTCCTGGATCGTCTCTCTAGCCATCCCGTCTAGTTCATGAGAACCGTATTGTACAAAAATCAAAGTGACTTTTCATTCCCCCCGCCTCCAGTGATCAGACGCCCATCACGGCCCTGAAAGACACTTGATGCCCTCCGTAATGGCCTCTCACGAGCAATGGCCTCTCGCGACAAGACCGAGGGCCGCTGTCGTGCGACGAAATCGCATGCAGTAGCTGTGAATCATTTCGCCACGTTTGCGACGGGGCGAGCTCATTGCCTGAGGCCGGCAAGACGTCGGCCCTGCACCTCGCTCAGAGCCTTGACGCCCGATAGGAAGGTGACGGTGCCCACGACGCCGACAATGGGCAGGATGTGGAGCAGCTTCCAGCCAACGTGGTAGGCCACAAAGACGCCCTCCATGGCGATGATGGAGCCAAAGAAGGTTGCGTGGGCGACGGGAGCCTTGCTCAGGGCCTGCTGGGCATGGTTGAGGTTGGCACCAAAGTAGCCCCACTGTCAGGATGGTCAGCACGGCATTCTAAACCCCCTAGCGGCGCTTGTCCTGGTATGGTTGAACTCACAGCGGCGAGGAGCGCGGGGTAGGTGGCCACAACGAGGCCAAGGCCGATCAGACTCAGGAGAATGTTGGGGCTCGTGTCGTGCTTGCGGTAGTGGTGGGTCTGCTCGCTGAGCTTGCCGTAGCGAAGGGGTGCCTCGTAGGAGAGAGGACGCAGGTCGTCGGGGTTGCGGTCAATCTTGAGGTTGAAGAGCGGCGACTCGATGGCGGCGGAGGAACCGAAAGAGCCGATGACGATGTACGCACCCAGGTGCTCGGGGGTGATGCTGTGCTGGATGGGGAGGTCCTTCTGGGCCTGCAGCTCCTGTCAGTAAACGCGCGGCTGGGCGAGGTGAGCAGCTTTTCTCAACGCACAATCTCGACGGTACCCTTGCCATTCTCCCTGACATTCAGAGGGAAAGGGGCCTCAAGTCCGGTGGCGGTGTCACGGAGGATCAGGAAGGCCTGGTGCGGGCGCTTGGCCTTGCCGTTGTCCTTGGTCGTCAAGGCGATCTTGATGGATTCTTTCGCACCGAGAGTGATGGGCGTCTTCAGGAGACCCTTGGAGCTCAGTCTGTACGGCCAGCAGGTTAGCGCGGCTCAATGGCACCGCCGTCTCCTTCGTCCCCCTCGAGCTCCGAGCTCTCTCCTCTTCGGAACAGGCACTTACGTCTCCTTAACAGCCTCCGGCTTGCGAAGAATGGAAACTGTCGCGTCGTCGAATCCCCAGGAAGAAGCTGCCTGGGCGGCACCGGCGCATAGGAGCGCAAGTGCGGGGGTGAGCGAGTGAAGGAAGCGCATGGTTGCTGATTTGATTGTGGTTGACGCTCGCTGGAGAGCTGCTTCACTTCACGAGGGGGAGGCTACGTTGACACTGGACAGCTTTCGTTATTCAACTGGCCCCCTGCAGCTGGTGCACGGGCCGGCAATGGATGGGTCGTCATCACAGTGTATTCTCACTCGAACACGGCTCTCGCACAGTTTCAGACAAGTCGTGCAGAAGTGATCTTAAGGAAAACCAAGAGAAAGACCCTCATGTATCGCAGCTTGCTATGTCCGCACAGCCGTGTCAGATACGGTATAGAAGCAGGAGAAGCAGATCTTATAGTGTCTTTGTGCATTGTATGAATAGTTATGCCATATGTACAGCGCCCGTCGTGCGCATGACAAATGGGCTATCGACCCGTCTGTCATTGTCACAATTCCGTCTTGGCCGTCTCAGTCGTCTCGCGCTTGAGCTGTTTCTCCGTCTTCTTCGGAAGATACTCTGCAATGTCCAACCACTCGGCAGTGAACGCCGTGACGATCCTCGTCCAGTCACGCACTGTGGGGATATCTAGGTGCTCGCCGTCATCCTCCATCTTGTGCCACTGGGGCGGGAAGGGTGTGGGGATCATGTGCAGGATCTCGACACCGCGCGCCATGAACGGAACGTGGTCATCCTCGACAAAGCCACGTCGAAATTGGCTGTGTTCTTTGTGTGACTCAGGCAGGAAGGGCTGGGACTTTGTAGACTCGATGATCCCAAGCTTCCTCATGCGGCCCTCGATTTTGGCCATGTTCTGGTACGCCCAATGGGTTGTCGGAAAGTACGAGGGTATGCGAGGGTTCTTGGCACCGAGCAGGTCAAGCAGCAGAAAGAGGCTGATCGAGTTGATCGGGCTCTTGTACGTCGACATGGCGGGGTGGACCTCCGTCTCCCACGACTCAGCCAGCGCTCTGCATCTGGTCAGCCTCATGCCGGCGAGGTCCATCGGAACCTGTGATGCAAGAAAGGATGCCTTACCTCGAACCATACAGGGAGTCTTCAGCGGTCCATCGCACCCAGGCCTCTTCTCCGTCGAGGAGCAGGATCTGCACGCCGACCTCCTCCTCCAATCCCATGCCGGCATCTCCAGAATCCTGCATGGCCTTCCACTTCTTCGCGAGGGCCTCCTCGATGCCGAGGGCTGTCTGCATCAGCATGGCGCACGGCGCCGCGCTGTCGATGGCGCCGATAAACCCGTCGGGCTTGTACAGACTGTCGTAGTGGGCCACGAGCGTCAACCGGCCGACGTCGCCAACTTTGGCCCAGGGCGGATCGCGCACGAAGATGAGGTTGGTAAAGGGAATGTCCTTGTCGCCTGTTGCAGGCGTCTTCGCCGTCGAGTTGTGCCACTCGATGCGCCATTCAGGCAGTTTGGTTTTGAAGAAGCTGACAAAGTGCTCCTGTGCTTTGAAGGACCCAGGCGTGCCCGGGACGCGCGGGATCAGAATGGGCGCCAGGAGTGATCCCGACTTGATGTCGAAGCCGTCGCCACCAGAAGGGATGCCGCGCAGGGCATCATCAGGCAGCTCGGTATAAGCATGCGTGGGGCTCAGCAGGGCGGCAAGGGCCAGAAGAATGCACCCTACCCGAACGGACAGTCGCCTCTCGGTGAAGAAGCCCATGATAGCGGAAGAGATGGTGATTCCGGGATCATGCTGCGTTTCGCCAGTGGCCAGCAACTGCGCGAGAGATCTGGGGTGAGGACAGCTGTGGTTCAAGGGAGGACCAGGTGGCAGCGATCGGGCATGGCATTGTTTCATTCAATTGGCCCTCAGCGGAGGTTTGGCGTCCGAGCAGCGGGCCAGTGGTTGATGCCAAGTCTGATCGAGCCACAATACCCCTCCTCTTCTCCACACTGCTCACCTTGCTCACCTTGCTCGGAGGGAAGCTGTGACCACCGCGTAAATCCGGTGGCACCATGCAACCTCGACCTCCAACCTGATCCATCGGTGATAGGTCTTTGGCTCCCTCGCAGCCCTTCTGGCAAGCAATGCTGTGCACCATCATTCAGAGCGTCCTGCAAGCCAAGCCAGTCTTTTCTATCGCCGAATGGCCGATACCCCGCTATGCAATGTGTCAGCGTCGCCAATACTATGCGATGGCTCCCCTCCAACAACCATGTCGCTTACGACCACGGCACGATCTGGCTCGGTCTGGAGATAGCCTCTGGTGAACATGAGTGATGTCTTGGTGACACTGATCCCGGGGTTTGCAGATAGCGCCGGCCAACTGCTTGTCATCCAGGCCAGCTTGCCAGCCTGCCTCCCTGCGTCAACCTGAGTCTCTGTCCCGAGACGCTGTGCGATGTGAAGGAGTCGACAAAGTATAAGAAGAAACAGAGCGACTGATGAAAAGAGACAGGTAAAACAGAAGACATCTCGACTTACACATCTCCTACTGGCCCATCAAGACATCCAGCAAAAAAAGTGTCCCCTATAGCTGTCCTACGCACCTAACACTCCCCAACTTCATATCACCATGGACACCCCCGTCTGGTTCATCACCGGCGCCAGCTCTGGCTTCGGCTTCGAGATCGCCAAGGTAGCCCTCGCCCGTTCCCACAAGGTTATCGCCACGGCCCGCAACACCACCAAGCTCGCCCGTCTGGCGGACCTCGGCGCGACCGTCATTCCCCTCGACGTGACGGCGCCCGAATCCACCATCCGCGCCGCCCTGGCCGAAGCCCACGGCCTCCACGGCCAGCTCACGCACGTCATCAACTCGGCCGGCTACGTCCTCGATGGCGCCGTCGAGGAGTGCACCGCCGACGAGGTCGCCGCCATGTACGCCACCAACGTCCTCGGCACGCACAAGGTCACCCGCGCCGCAGCCCCCTACCTGCGCGCCCAGGGCGCCGGCGTCGTCGCCAACTTTGGCTCCCTCGGCTCCTGGGCCGGCAGCGCCGCCTGCGCCCACTATTGCGCCACCAAGTGGGCCGTCTCGGGCCTCTCGGAGGGCCTGGCGCAGGAGCTGGGTCCCTTTGGCGTCGACGTGTGCGTCGTCGAGCCGGGCTACTTCCGCACGGGATTCCTGAACGCCGGCGCCCGCCTGCACGCCGAGGAGCGGCTCGGGGCCTACCAGGACGGACCCGCAGCCGAGAAGATGGCCGACTTGGACCGCGCAAACGACAACCAGGCCGGCGACCCCGTCAAGGCCGCAGAGGTCATTGTCGACGTGCTGACGAGGTCGGGTGTGGCTGAGGGTCGGGCCATCCCGCTGCGGCTGGTGCTGGGGACGGACTGCCTGGCGACTGTGAGGCAAAAGTGCAAGGACACTGTTGCGCTGTTGGATGAATGGCAGGACGTTTCTGCTTCCACTGATTTTGTCGTGTAAAGACCTGCCGACGAAAGACCGAACACCAGATTGTTCCATAGTCCATGGTATCTTAATTCTGCGGCGTATCTCACTCTACCTGGCGGTGGCGTGCTGGATCATCAAGACTAAAACAAACTGTGCCTAGCCAAACATGAACAGTCTGCCATGCAATGCGTCAAATTCATCAGCCAGCGGCTGAGATAACATGTCATTAATAATATAGTAGTCGTTATGTGGGGCAACCAAACAAACATCAAAAGCATGCGAGCTCGAGATGGTGAGCTTCCAGCCTGCGCCAGCTCTCGACCCGAGAAAGCGCCTGTACAAAAACGACGTAAGAAAAATGCCATGCTGCGCTCGCGCCCATGTTGAAGATGGTTCAAGCCAAGCCAAAGCCAAAGCCCCGCTCCTGCCAACGCCCAGAAAACCGCTGATGCCGTGAGAAAACATGTCCCCCACCAACTCCTCCTCCTCATCCTGAATTTTTTCTTCATGGTGTCTCCTGCCTATCGATGCACGTCTCAAGACGCCACCCAGGCCGCCCTGCCGTTGCAGCGCCCGTAGTCCTCCTCGGGCTTTGGCGGTGTTGAAACCCTTTGGTGTCGGACGGGAACTTTGCCGAGTCCGCTCTCTCTATCATTCTGTGTCTGTGTGCGAAGGCACTAGTCGTGGCGCTTGCCGTTCATGTCGTTGAGGGCAGCCTGCGCGGCAAAGGCCTGCTCGTTGGCGATTTGCTTTTCCCTGGGGATCGTGAGAGCATTGATGCCGAGGAAGTTGCAGATGCTCGTGACAACGAGGTAGGCCCAGCGAGAGTACACGACGAGGGCGAAGAAGAAGTAGGCCCAGAGGTAGACGAGCTCAGCCTTGGCCGTGACGGCAGCGACGCCGAAGCGGGGCAAGTTCCCGATGAAGGCACCGCCAACGAGGGGCCAGAGCATGACGGTCCAGAACGGGAAGGGCTGGCGTGTCAGATGGGCGAGAATCATCTTGGTGGTCATGCGTCCAAGACAAAGGGCCATGGTGAAGCAGAAGAGCACGAGGTGGTTCTCCCGCATGAGGGTCGAGTATGGGGAGTACACCCAAGCGCCGATAGCAGCGGTGAAAACGAGCATGGGAGTCCATTCGAGGAAGACGGGCGCGATCGGGAGGTTCTTCTGCTGACGCGCGCGAACGACGTTGTAGATGCAGAAAGGGATATGGGTGGCGAGCAGCGAGGTGATGATCATGCCAATCCAGATGTCCCGAATCGAGTAGTGGTGGATCAGCGGCATGAGGCCGAAGAAGTGCTTCTCGCCAAGTATGTCGATGATGGGCTGGGTCCAGATGCCAGGACCGCAGATGCCGGAGGTGGCCATGATGGCGCAGGCGATCAGGATGCCCTCCGTGGGGCCGTTGATGGTGCCGAGGTAGAGCGTGTGGGTGTGGTAGGTCTCCCAGGTCGAAAAGAACATGGGCAGGCACGGGCAGAGCGCAGTAAAGACGCCGGATTTGGAGGTGCCCAGGCCCATGGCAGCAGTCTCGAGAAGACTGGCGAGAGTGCAGTTAAGCGAGTCAATGCCGTGGTCGAAGAGCTCGCCGAGACCGCTCGAGGTGCCAGTTCGTCGAGCTTGCTTTCCGTCGAGATTGTCCATGGTCTGGTACATGAACAGGCCGAGTGCGAAACTAAAATATAGCCATGACGGTCCCTGTGCATCGTCCCTGTCAGCTGATATCCCATGTGTCCAACACGGCAAGGTCGCAACGTACGGGTCCCTCGAGATCGGGCATAACAATGACGAGTAGGAGGATGTTGGCCAAGATGAAGGCGAAGCCGATCAATGTCACCATGTTCGGAGCCAGCCATAGCGGCAGCAACTTGACGGAAGCTTCCCACTGTAAAAAGACTCGAGAATTAGCTCTGGTTCGAGAATTGTAGTTGGACGGGGATGGCAGGCAAGCCACTGCGTAGCCTTGGGCGAGGCTGTCTTGGAGCTCAGCGCGGGGCAACATACGTAGGGGCGGAGGACATATTTGGATATCGGCGACTTGTCGACTGCGGAGTACTTGTACGACTTGAGGTGGATGAGGGCATCGTCGGAGATGCACTCGGCGATGGCCTGCTCTGCAAGGACATGGGCGTTAGCGTACCTCTCAAGGGTGCAGCACTGGTGGTGGTGATCGTTTCGTTGAACAAGTCCCGTGTCGAGTCGTGGGGCCGTCTCGACATTTTTTCGGCGCTTGAACTGTACTTTGCGCTGCACCTAAACCTGGTACAGCGCGAGGTACTTTCGCGGAGTGGGTGGGTGTGTGCTTACTCTTGTCACTAATGAGAGACCCCATCTTCAAAGCTCTTTGGGGTGAAGATGGATTGGAGGGAACAATGAAAGGAAGAAGGAAGAGAAGGGATATGGTCCCAGAAAGACGACGCGTGCTGCCAGTACGAGAAGCAGGGAATCCTAACAGCAAGGCATTGCAGGGAGAATCGAGGTAATAGGGGGTTGAGCAAAAGGTGGTCAAGCGATTGGGAGGTCTGGTGGATGAAGTAATAATGCATGGTACAAATTGCCTACCTGCCTGCTAAGGTACCCAAAAGCACCAAGCGAGCGGACGCCGACTGAACCCTGGACGTGAGCAGGACGAGGTACTGTAGAGCCCGCCAGAAAAATGGGCTTGATTTCGACTGTGGGTACCTTGCGTGCTGTAGCCTTTCTTGGGCCCCGCAGCCTTTTAGGTGGCCTGAGCCGAACCTGGGCAATGGCCATTCGCTTGTGACTGCTGGGGGTGCATAACCCAATCACGCATGCACAAAATCTGCCATAGGGCACCATCAAGGTCACGCTTCCACTGTGACATGACAACGTGGGGTCAAGAGACGCCATATGAATGTAGAGTCAAAGTCTCTGCCGCAGATGTCATGTTGGTGCATTCGAATCGGGAGAACCGGCATGTGACTCTCAACCCACAACATCACAGGCAGGATCGGATGCTCTGGCTTCTACAGTCTCCTGCCCAGCGCCAATGTCGGCGAGGGCTTTCGATACCATCACAGGAGCAGAAAGAAGCAAGAACCATAGTGAACCTGACATAGTGCATTACGCTACTATCGCCTACCTTCATTGGCTTCTGCCGCCATGCCCATCACCAGATGTTCGTGTCGGAAGGCCCTGTCCTAAGCTGGTCTTCTTTGACGATCTGTCGAAGCGAGACTGATCTGATGACCTGCATTGAGAGCTTGAGATGGCAGAGAGCATCACCATGGGATTTGATGATTCTTCCATCTATCGAGTCGCTTTCAATCTTCACCCTGCCGTGGCGATGCTGCAACGCAACTGCCTCCCAAGCTTGAGCAACGGTAGGCCCAAGGATCACTTCAGAAGTTCCTCTCAGCGTGACAGCAACCGATTGCCCATCTCGAGCTGTTCGGTAGCGGAAGAGCATCACCAAGCCTTCTTTGCCGTTCCAGATCTCTATGGTTTGGATCTTGGGCATTCTCAAGGCGGCAGCAGCAGCATTCAAAAGCATACCGTCAATGTCGGCACTACTTGCATCGGGGCCCAACAGGCTCGAAGTCAGCGCCAACGATGTCAGGTTCGGCCGTATACAAGATTCTCGCCGAGCATCGAAGAAATGCCGAGCATCGACTATGTATGAAGCAGACAGCACCTCAAGATCTGTACTGGTCCTTGCAAGCTTTCGTGCCAAAGCCGTGTTTTCTTTCCGGGTTCTGACGGCTTCCAAGTCCCAGGATTTGGGAGTGTCGTAGTCCTGATTGAAATTTTCAAACAAAATCATCGTCCGCAGACCTTTGTGGAGCGAATCGAACAGCATCTCGTGATCGACGGGAGGGTTAGAATCATTAACGGGGAAATCACTAGGTAGTGTGAGACTGATGGCTGCATACTCACATTTATCTGTAAAATGCTGCATGAGGGGCTCGTCTTTCCAAGGCTCGTACCACAGTTCCTCCAGGTTGGGAAACCGCGCGAACATTTGTGCGAGATCAGTTGGCTTCCATCGACGCCGCGTCTGCTGCCGAAGATATACGCCGGTGATGGCAGGAAGTAGGGGCAGTCGTTGCCAGCATTTCTTCTCCAGCTCCTCGTCTTCACATGGCAGCGGACACTCGATCTCGTCGAAAACTCTGTGTATTACCCGAGATGCCAGGGCTGTTTCTCGGCGACCGGCACGCCAGCCATGGGCCGGGTCGTCATATAGGTCGGTTAAGGACTGCGTCGACACCTCACTTTGTCGAAACGAAGGTGAAGACCGGCCGGGAGGCATGTCGGGTCCGAACTCGAGGTACTTGAACCAGTGATCAGAGTCGCTTCGCGAATAAATGCTGATGTCAAGGACCAAGTCGCCGTCAACTTTCCACGGACTAAGAGTTGAAAAGAGATCCTGGAAAGACCGGGTGACGAACGCGCTGTCGACATCGTTCATTCCCCAGGTGGTATCATCTTCAGCCATACATATGGTACAGTCATATCGCTGAAGCTCTAAGCGAAACCATATGTAGCGGATGAGGCTCCCTTTTCGACTAAGAATGGATCCAGAATTGGAAATTCGTGTTGGCGTCAGATTGATCCTGGCAAAATTGTGCGGCTCTATAACCGAATGCTATTCTCTCGAGACGCTGGCCGCATGAGCCAGCTTGATACCGCTGCAGATGATGTCTTTGAGCATCTGGTTCCGTATCTCAGGTAGTAGCTTAGCCCAAGACCCTGCCGCCGAGAACATGATTACCCCAGCGTTCCACCACGCGGTATGGAATATGTAGGCTTGTCTAGTAGAGCTGGCTAATGACGCAAGAAAACCGCTTCCTAGGCGTGATGAGCGAAGTGTCGTAAGAGTCTGGCTGCTGGGGCTGATATGGAAGACTTGACAATAGGTATGACCAGGGCTCGTGGCGCAGCTTGTCGACGCACTTCGAGGTTGCGCTAGTGTGTGATGATGGGCGAGGAATTATTAGCGAAGTCGGCGAGTGGGTCGGAGGAAAGAAGAGTCTATTAGCTGAAGAGACGCAAGAGGGTTGAAATATATCAACTCACAAAAACGAATGAATCAGTGTGTCAATTATAGTTCTTCAAGCGACTGTTCGACCGGTGGCGTCTTCAAATGGAGATACGGGAGGCACAATTAAACGTCCACTCACCTTGACACCTTAACACCTTGCTGGCCGAGCATGAGATGAGTTCGTTAGCATTCTCACGGTTTAGACCATCAGTACAACATGGGAGAACGGAAATAGCCACTCTCTCTGTCAAGTAACTAAGAGCTCGGGCCTACCGCTGTTCAGCCATGCCAGAGGGGAGAATGAATGTGTAACAGCAGATAGAGGCCTCTTCTAACCTGGTCGACCGGGTTTGGTGGCATTCGGGACGTGTCTCAATCTTGCACTTTATTTCGTGGACAACGTGAACTTCGTCGTAATATTCTCTGTAAACATCCAGGTGCTTGGTTGCATCGGGTGAAATCCTCCTTGAACGGAGTGGACAGTAGAAGCAAGAAGGCTGCAGCCCCCTCACCAGACTTAAGACACCACGGTGGATTATATCGTTCGTCTAACACACAGTAGTGGCCGAGCCGGAGGATGTAAACATGATAGCAATCGAGAGTTCACGTAGTATCATATGATATACTGGTTGCCGTTCCGACACGACCATCTTGCGTGTGCGTACTCACGAGACCAAGAAACGACAAGAAGTGTAGACATTAAGTTGGGAAGGCCTGGGACGTCTAGCCATGCCTTCACCACGTGCTGCGCGCTCCCTGTAAACGCCGACCCAAATCGAGATGAACCATGCAATGCTCAACACACACCACCATACCATGCTAGACCCCCATCTCACCAATGTACTGTCAGAGCGCCGCTTACAGCAGGACGGCGAACCCGCCAACGAGGCCACCAATGACGACCGTCAGGCCAAGACCCCGGCTGATGGCAGAGGCGGCGCTGTCGTTGTTGTTGTTGTTGTTCGAGTTGCTGCTGCTGCTATCATCGCTGTCGTCGTTGTCGTCGTTGCCGGCGAGGCCGGTAAAGATGGTGCTGCCTGAGGATGTCTGGCTCCGCAGTAGCGGAGGCCGTGGGGGAAGCCGAGGACTCCGTAGCGTTGACGCGGCTGGGGTCGGTGGCACCGCATGGGTGGTCTTCACGGCACGAGCTGGCGCATGCGTTGTTGCCGTTGCCGCAGTCAGCGACGCACTGCTGGCCCAAGCCGTGCAGACGTGGTAGGGCAGCGTTAGGGAGTACTCGGTCATGTTGGGCTTTTGTCCGTCACTGCAGATGCAGCCGTATTGCAGGGCGTCCTATGAACGTCGTTAGTAAGAGGGATGTCTGGGTGGGCTTCCAAGTACACTGACAGCATTGCAGTCGTTGACGAGAGGGTCACCCTCGGACGTCTGGGAGCAGATCATAGGGCACGAGCTCCTCTGGTCACGGCACCACGAAACTGCACGATCCATTAGTCAAGACACTCTGTACATATAGATTGTATTCGGGTTTGCATACGTCGGATGGGCTTCTGGATGGAGTCAGGCTCGACCCAGTAGTCCTGAGCAGTCGCGGTAGCGACGAAAGCAGCGGCCACGGCCAGGAAGGTGCTCTTGAAGGACGGCATGGTGACAATTGTGTTTGAGCGAGTGGCGATGGTAAGCTTCCGCTGAGTAGATCGTCACGAAGTGTTGTTTTATTGCTAATTGGGTTTCCCGGTCAGCCAACGTGAATCAAGACATTCCTCGAGGGCCAAAGAGCTGGACTACCACCAGAGCAAGACACACAACACGCCATGCGTGTGTCTCTTGCCAAGATGAATACACAAAACTTACAACGAAAGCAAGAGTGCTGTTTGAGAGCTGGTTCAAAGTGGCGAGATGATCGGAGGTGAACGAGAAGGGTCGGCTGGCTCAATGGATGTTGACGGCTCCAAGGGGGGAATTATAAAGCGATAGACTGAAAAACGACGGTAGCGAGAGACAAACAGGTATGGAACCCGTTGAGAGCACGAAGGATAACGTAACGCAACAAGTGAGGAGCTGGCTGGCACGATGCGAGTGAAGTCAGGAAAGAGCTGGACCAGGGCGAGAGGCCGCGGGAAGGGGGAGAGATGAGCTTTTCTACTGCCCCATGGTGGTCGAGCGGACGGGCCAGGGTCCCCCTCGTCACCTCGGACTGGCGATATCGTCAAATAGCGGGTGACATTGAGTGCAGCAGTGTCGTAGCCAGCCACTCGGCGTTTTTTTCGACAGGGGTCGCCCGCTATTGTCATGCCGGGCCCCAATCACTTCGACACACAAACTTCGGTAGGGGGCCACCAAGGGCCCGAGGCGACAGGGGATGTCTGGGGATCTGGCTGCTGGGCAAATAAGCTAGGCCTGTGCTAAGATTGAGATCTGGTGGGCCGAGCGACTGCGTGTCTGACCTGACGCCTTTCTCCTCTCCACTACTCATCCGCCGTCCCTGTCTCTTGCTGTTGCTCCGTCGGTCGTGCCATTGGGACTCGCAGCATGTCTCCGGTGCTCGACTGGCGGTGGGCGGACCGTTTGCTGTGATGGCGCGAGGGAGGGGCGAGTCGCTGTCTTGGCTTCAAGACACGGGCCAGATTTTGCGTCGCATTCTTTTTTACCGCATGAACACGAGCATGCATGACCCTCTGACATCTGACGGTGGAGGCGAGAGGAAGACTCACCCGCCCAAAGAAAAAGCCAGGCGGAGCCAGGCATCACGACGCTGGCCAGGCCAGGCCAAGCCAGGCCAAGCCAGGCCAGCCCGGACTTCCCATGCCTCGCGATCTGTACGAGCCTGCCCCGTTCCAATCGTTTGCCTGTGTGGCCCCCTCGACGATCTCGCCACGAAAGAAAGATTGCCGTCAAACCCCTCCTGCTCGACGTTTCGCAGCACACGAGCCCTCGAATGGGGTGGTGGATTGTTCGTATCCGCTGCCTCACGAGGTTGGGTGCAGAACGGTCAACGCGGCTAGCGATGCAAGCCTAAGGCGATTCGGGGAGATCGGAAGAGCGTCGATAACGGACTTCCGCGTTGGTCATTGGAGGAGGCAAAGACCACACACAGTCTGAGGCAGACCCTCGGACGACTGACCGTGTCCTCCGGGGCGCCTCAGCCTACTCGGTAGCCATTGTGGCTCGTTGAACAGACTGCCAGGATCAATAACACCAGCCTATACCCAAGACGCCCCTTCAACCTCAATGACGAGGTCAAGACCCGGCCATCAATATCAGTGGCAGCTTCTCAGTGGGAAGTTCTCAGTGGGAAGGGAGAATGGGCGGATCCATCCACGAGACACTATCTTACCGAGCCGCAGGTAAACAACAAAAAGTCTGGGGGCACACTTGACAGGGGGCTGATCACTCACTGCCTTTTTCTTCTCGTGCATATGCACCTTGCGTTTCGCCGTTTCAATTTCAATGTCCAAGATTGGTTCGGGCTAGCACCTCAAGCTTCCCCTCCATCCTTTCCCCCACGACAAGGGCCATTTACGGAGTGCGGAAGAGTTCCAAGCTTTCCACGGGGCTGTGCGAGCTTGATGT